GCAGGACCAGATGGAATTCCTCCAGAAGCACTGAACACAGACGCGGAGGTGATATTGAACACGCTCACACAACTATTGCAGAGGGTTTGCAAGGAAGGAAAGGTATCTGGCGATTGTTAAAAGGTCTACCCTGTCAAACTCCCGAAGAAGGGAGACGTAAGTCTTTGCAAGAACTGGCGCGGAATCATGCTGCTGTCCACTCCAAGCAAAATATTATGCCGCATCATCCTGCCAGAGACTAAAGGATGAGCTGAATTCAAAATTGCGATCCGAACAGGCTGGCTTCAGGAAAAATAAATCATGTGCGGATCAAATCGCAACACTACGCATCATCATAGAACAGAGTATAGAATGCTAGTCAACTCTCTACCTAGACTTCAGTTTCATCGACTTTGAAAAGGCCTTCGACAGCGTCGACCGAGAAGTAATTTGGCAGTTGCTTCAACACTATGGAATACTACAAACCTTTATCAACCTCATTCAACAGCTATATGAAGACGCCACATGCCAAGTGATCTACTATGGAAAGGTGAGTGAGGCCTTCCAGGTGGAAGTGAAGACAAAGAGTAAAACAAGTCTGCCGCCTACTATCACCGACCATCTTCCTGATTGTAGTCGACTGGATCATGCAACAAACAGTGAGGAGCGAGAAGAGGGACATACGGTAGACCGGGGAAAAGATCCTAGAAGATTTGGATTTCGCCGCCACCGATGATGATTTATGTCTTATGTCTTGTCGCACAAACTCGAAGATCAACAAGCGAAATCTAGCAAGTTGACAGAAAAGGCAGCGAAAACAGGACTTCAAGTGGATGTAGAGAAGAGGGAGGTGATGAAGATACCCAACCAACAACAACAAGTACCAATCACCATGAACGGGAGAAACCTAAAGGAAGTAGTCTCTTTCACCTAAACCTACCCAGGCAAAGCAGCATCGTTTCAACTACAGGCAGCAGCGGCACAGATGAGGGTGTCAAAGCCAGGATCGGAAAGGCAGGCTTTCAATAATTTGAAATCACTGTGGAGACCTACTGCACTCAGCACAAAGAACAAGATCCGGATTTTCAACACCAACGTCAAGTCAGTGCTTCTAAGTGATGGATGGTTCAGAAACGGCGAGGCACGAAAAGCATTTCCAACAAACTACAAACACACCTCATCAACATCTGTCGTCTACGCTCACTCGATACTGAAGGTCAGATGACCAGAATAATAAGGATAAGCAACAAGGAACTCTGGCAACGAACCAATCAAGAACCCATCACCCAACAACAAAGCAGATGGATTGGGCATGCACTGAGAAGGCCGATTGGGGACATCACGCACCAGGCCAGGCTTTCGAGTGAAATCTAAAGGGGAAACGATGAGTTGGGCGTCCGAGGGTGACATGGAGATCATGTGAGGAAGAAATGAAAACTTGTGAGCAGTCGTGTAACGGGGTTCAAAAGACTGCAGAGAAGAGAGTGCAATGGAGGCGTGCTACTGGAGAACTCTGTTCCGCTAGGAACCCAAGGGGAAAATAATAATGTAATAATGATATGGTGTGAAGTTTAATGATACTAACTAGCTGCCTAAACCTCGGTGGGTGAAGCTGGGTTCGCATTTGCGACGCACTGGTTAAAAGTATGTTGCCTAAGCCAATGAATAATATCTGAGTTATCTAAACAAAGAACAGCTGTTTCGATCGTTCAAGGTCAAGCTCACTAACAATCTACCTGGGGAAATGCACTTCACAAAGCCTAACCGTTCATATACACTGGATCTTAATAGGATGACCAATTTGCAAATTCTATAGTCCACGTCAACATTTCGTACGCATGAGTGGTCTGAAGACACTTAAGTTGTTCAGTAGCATGTTTTGTTCCGTGTAAACTGGATTTTACCGTTTCCCCTAAGCTATCCTGCTGAGTAGAACACCTAAAAATTAATATCATGCTTTCTCTTTATTTGCGAATTCGAAGTCATGAAAAACGTGGTTGATTAATTTGCAATTATTATCCTATTCTTTTCTTCTAATGATGCCGAAAGTATAATCAATAGACTTAAAGTTTTGGTTTGATCAAAGTTGAAATAGAAGCCTTCAATCTTTGCATTACTGCGTCATTGATGACTGGGAACTTATTCTTTTGACTGATATATGAAAATTAGCTTCTGCCTATCAAATCATAAACACAAGACTTGAATAATCCAACCACCGAGGATTTTAATTTTTGAAGGGAGTGGAAATTAAACTTATGTAGCTCATGCATCAATTTCATTACAGAAATAATGAGGTTTTCCTCTTATAAAAAACTTCAATGTGAACTATCAATCTTGGACACCATAATGCTGTCAGTTTCAACCTTTACAAACAATGTAGTGTTTACAAAACGTGAAAATGTCTGGTTCCAAGACATCTGATTATATTTTTTTCTAAATTAATAAATATTCTCCTTTGTAAGGTTTAAATACAAGTGGCCAGTGAAATTAAATTTCACGACTAATAGATATTTGACTAGTGTATGATTAAAAATTGACGAAAGTTTTTATGAATTAGGTTGAAAACATTCGCTTTCAAACTTCCTAGTAATTACTGACAATAACAGAATACTTCATCATTTTTGCTTTAGTACTGTTAATGAATAGAACTCCAAACTGCAGTTCTATTGCACATAGATGCTTTTTCCTTACATAGAATAACACAACTGGCGATGATATCGTCCTTGAATATCGTTTTGGTCATAAAATGATTGATGTTGATATGATACAAGTGTACTGCGAAATGAAGTCACACACCTTTAGGATAACCAATTGGACAATTTTGGTAGGTGATCGCAAAAACGAGAGTGTTTCAAGTTACATCTCAAGATTATAATGCATTTTGACAAATAATCTTTCAACCCAAAACGTGTCGTTCCTGTTGAAAATCCAAAGCTAATTGTGCATAAAACTGGAGTTTTATTCAGAGCAAAATAAATGCTGATTATTTAATCTTGGGTCATTCAACGTGACAAGTATGGCTAAGTGTAACACTTTATTAAACTTTACAAGTGACAAATCCTTAATGAATCATCTCCTTTGTTTCGAATTAAATTAATGTATTCATTACGAGGGAGTTTAATTTTCAGTCGTTGGAATATACAAATACCATAATAACACCATTTAACTACACTTTTTCTTTGAAACGATCAAATTTCAACGTGGTTTGGTATATCGATCAATTGAATCACTCTATCAAAGTAACAACGTAACTTCTAAAATCATATGATAGATCATAGCTCAATAAGGAATGTGGGTTACACCGGCATCCTCCTAAACTTAACAAAGAAACCTGAATTTCTCCCAACAATTACATTCTTTCCTGACAGTGAATTTTGACTATCTCACATGAGATTTGTTCCGTAGCTGTCCTTCACGCGTTGTTTTTGGAAACTCTACTTAGATTTACCATGGTATTTATCTACTTCTAAACGGTCGAAAGGAAATTTTGTGTAAGCAACCTAAAAAATTAACATATAAAGGCTGCTTCCCCTTCTTTTACTGATCTATTCAAACTTTATGGACATATTATTATTTGTCCCTTGGGTTTCTAATGGAACATAGGGCTTCAGTAGCACGTCTCCAGTGAACTCTGTTCTCTGAAATCTTTTGAACCTGGCTCCATGACAGCCCACAAGCTCTCATTTCCTCCTCGCATGATCTCCTCCATGTCACCCTCGGACGCCCAACTCGTCGCTTCCCATCGGGGTTCCATTCGAGGGCCTGCTTTGACACATGATGTCCCAAATCGGCCTTCACAGTGTATGCCCAATCCATCTCCACTTCCTTCCAGTGCATACTTGTTGAGCGATAGGTTCTTGATTGGTTCGTTCCCACAGTTCCTTGTTGCTTATTATTTCTGGCCATCTGATTTTCAGTAGCGAGCATAGGCAGTTGTTGATGAATGTCTGCAGTTTGTTGGAAATGCCTTTCGTAACGCGCCAAGTCTCTGAACTATACAGAAGCACTGACTTGACGTTGGTGTTGGAAATCCGGATGCTGTTCATGCTTTATGCTGAGTGCAGAAGATCTCAACACTGGTTTCAGGTTGATGAAAGCCTGTCTTGCTTTTCCGATCCTGACTTTGACGTCCTCGTCTGTGCCACCTGTAGTTGAAACAGTGCTGCCTAGATAGGTGAAAGAGGTTACTTTCTTTAAGTTTCTCCCGTTGACGGTGATTGCAGCTTGTTGTTGTTGTTGTTGGTTGGGTATCTTCATCACTTCCACCTGTCTTCTCTAAGTTCACTTGAAGTCTCGTCTTCGCTGCCCCGTCTCTTCTGTCAATTTGTTAGTTTTCGCCTGTAGATCTTCAAGTTTATGTGACATCAGACCCAAGTCATCGGCAAAATCCAAATCTTCTAGGTTCTTTTCCCCAGTCCAGAGTATCCTCCTCTTCTCGCTCTTCACTGTTTGTTGCATGATCCAGTCCACTACAATCAGGAATATCATGGGTGATAGTAGACAGCCTTGTTTTACTCCTGTTTTCACTTCAAAAGCGTCACTGAGCTTCTCATTTATGGACATAAATGATCCTTAATTTCTGATGGCATTCCACTAAAATTCAATCATGTAAACTACAATATGTTGAACAGCATTAATCAATCTGGAGAACATTAAAACGGAATTTATAAATAAATTTTTAAACATGAACAACCAATGCTTATTTATGTATTAACTCATCAGTTCACAGATCATATCAAAATTGACAAGTAACTTTTTCTCCTAAGAAATGTACAAAATCAGAGTTGTTTGGAAAACAAATCAGAAATGGTAAATTCATACGAATATGTACAATTACAACAACAGTCAAAAGTTACCAATCAACTAACCACTCAGAGTTTAGTAATCTGGTTTAGTACATGTACTCATAGAAAGAAGAAAGTTTGTAAATGTTGGAACTAGAAAAATTTGTCGCTGTTTTGATTTATTTTGAAAATTCAGTTCAAGTAAATAATGATACCCTTTCAGTTCATAATTTAGTACTAAGTATTGATTTCGAAGTGACGCATTGCAAAACAAGCATCAATAGACGATATATCAACTGAATTCTCGAATTCAGTTAGTAATTCATGAGCATTTATACGTTCTGGCGCGCCAACCATTGTCTAATTTTCAGTTAGAAAAGAAAAAATTAGGTTATATACATTGAATTACAACATCAGTCAGTTGCAAACAACTTTCGCGATGTATTATGTTTTGTATATAAAAAGGCTCCTAAAGAACACCAGAAGTGTATGAAGATCTAACAACATTCAGCAACGAAGTTCTATTTTTATGTCAAACCTAATATTAAGGTACTGTGTTCGGAATTAGAGATTAAAATAGTAGTATCTGTCCTGAATACAGACCACACAATCAAAATATCAATCGTCTGACTTAGTCGATCCCTGGGCAGAGCCATTGTGAAAGAAACTAGTAAATACAATATACAACTCAACTAATCACGTAAAGTACTATACGATAACAATCGCAGCAAAAGTTGGCAAAGTAAACATCAATAACAATATACTAACGTCTAAAAAAACTGGCAAGAATTCAACCCGAAGGATTACACTGAATACCTACGGTGAGGATGGTCATCAAGTGGTTCGGAGAATGTGACGCCAATGAACACTGCTACAGGTATAAGAGTCACAAAAACAAACATAGATACGCAATTCTCTGAAATATATATCCAACGATTAATATGCTGTGACATTGGAATTTGCGTAATGTAATAAAAAGACGGAGGTTATCTGAGAAATGTGGTGTATTCACCCAATACATTTCGAACAATCTGATCACATATTAACTTATGTGAAAGATGAAAATAGGGTGGGGTAAGATAAGTAAATTAAGATAATACAAGATTTGGAATATATAGGGATAATAAGGAGTAATAATACATGTTCATACCTCACTTGGCATTAAAATGAGATAAAGATTACCAAGGTAAGGATAAATTGTTTTTGAATACACAAAAGGAGTTTGAACTTTCGTATAACTAAGGCTGCAATGAATCTAAGAACACGATCTAGATGCCTCCTGTACAATGGTCTAAAGGTTGTTTTGGGGTCAATTCTGTGACTTGTTTCGATGTGTTTACCTGTCGATGACAATGTCTGTCTACACCCTGCATTTATTGGATTATTTGAATGTAATTGTGTTTTTTTGGCCAATTAGGTATATGCTCCACCACCCTCGACTTCATAGTTCGATTACTCCTTCCAATGTATGTATCACCAAAAACATACACATGTAAGTCGGTATACACAGCGGGATGTGACGTAATTATCTGTGTGGTGACGAGGCTTACTTGGAAGCATAGGTTTCGTTTTCTCGATAGTGTTGAGCTTGGTAGCGTAACATGTGCTTTTAATAACTGAATGAAGTCTTCGTCCTAAGAGCATGCAGCTTGATTCGCCCTTATACGGTAGCATGATGTAAACATCCTTCTTCAAGACAGAATACCGATTAAATCGCGCCGTTGAGACGTTTTTATAGCGACTGAATTTCAGAGGATATAGGTTTTTCATGTGTCTCTGTTAAAGGTATGAATTCTTCCTCCAATGTATCTGTTGTGTAGATATGTTGGGTTCTTTCGAATAAGCATTTTACTAAACCTCGTTTGTACTGTATTGGACCGAAACTACGAAAGCTAAGGTAATGTCCGGTCCACATAGGTTTTCTATACATTGATCTTTTCAGCGACCTATCTTTCCTACTAGTTAATAACACGTCAAGAAAAAAAGCTGATTATTATTTTCTGCTTCACATGATAAAGTGATGTGGCTGTATATGGTGTTAAGTCGATCTAGAAGACTTTTCACATCCTCGTGTTTGCTACACATAACTAAGATATCGTCAACGTATCTCCTGTCCATAGGGATTTTTTTGATTATATCCTCAGCCAAAAAGTTCTACATGTGACATGTCAGCTAACAATGCTCCTAAAGGACTGCCTTTAGCAACCGTCAAGACCGTATACTTAAGTTCATTGCAGCCTTAGTTATACGAAAGTTCAAACTCCTTTTGTGTATTCAAAAACAATTTATCCTTACCTTGGTAATCTTTATCTCATTTTAATGCCAAGTGAGGTATGAACATGTATTATTACTCCTTATTATCCCTATATATTCCAAATCTTGTATTATCTTAATTTACTTATCTTACCCCACCCTATTTTCATCTTTCACATAAGTTAATATGTGATCAGATTGTTCGAAATGTATTGGGTGAATACACCACATTTCTCAGATAACCTCCGTCTTTTTATTACACTATGCACATTTGAATTTATAAAAAACGGCTCAACGTTTGACACATACTCGTCTGAACTCAAAAATGGCGTTATCATACAAGATTGAGAAAATAAAATGCAAAAAACTTTCTGATCTCAAACCTAAGTCAAATCAGACAAGTCACACACCCTCGTTAAAACTTTTGAAAGGCTGAGTAACTCGAAACTATACAAATCGAAATCCTAATAAAAATGGGTTGTAGAGAAACAACAATTTCCAAGTAAATACGATCTATTATTTAACGCATAAACTGCAGAACATCTAATGAATGTACACCATTTGCGACTAATAAACGCCGCTAGCCCAAACATTAAAAGTCAGAAACTTAACTTATTCCACGAAACAAAACCACCCAACAATTAGTCATAGGACAAAGGAGGAAAGGTCTATTTCCTCACGGAATAAATCACTATATGTAACCATACCACAACTAAGCAGTCTACGATATCTGCACTTGGTGCACGTAAACTGTTCACAGTTAAACTAACTGCCAGAACGATGATAAGTCATGCAAGCCGTATATCATAGGCTAAGACAAAATACAGGACCCTCAACTGATAAAACATAAACCTAAATTACCTAGAACTAACCTTCAGCTTTGCAATATCATCACGCCTACGAGCTTCAGTAAGAAGGCGCCTCTCCTCTTCGATACGTCGCAATTCCTGTTCCCTTTTTCGCTCAGCCTCAAGAGCAAGTTCAGCCTCATGACGACGTCGCTCAGCCTCCTCACGTTCACGAGTGGCTTTCTCTTCGGCTGCTCGAGAGCTCCACTGTGACTGTCTTCGAGCTTCGCGCATTATCTGAAGAGCAGCTGCTTGCTTTTCTTTCTCTTCATTCTTACACGGTTGGGAATTCGGCAACAAAAGACCATCCGCCTCAACAGGCTCAGGTAACAGGTTTATGGGCTTTGAGATATCAACCGTGGAAGCCAGCACTTCAGATGCAGACGTTACAACACAACTACTAGAAGGTACAGATTTACTCAATGTACCATCGTCAGAAGAGGATGGTTTTTTGGAAAAACCTGAAATCGCCCATACTGGTTGAGGTAGTTGGTGAGGAGAATTCGGCTCAGACTCCGTATCTGATGACTCATTCTGCTCAGTCTTCGGCTCAACAGATGACTTCGCGTAACTGATATCATTATCACATTGAGCATTTGTAATCGAATCATGTGCAGAAACTGCAGATGACTGATTAACTGGTGTCTTAACATTCACAATGCTTGGATTCGACGGCAACGAAGTCGCCGACTTTGAACAATTGTGCAGCCCAGTCGTAGTTACCTGGTCATAGGTCTGTTTATGATCCGACGATGCCTCTGAAATTATAGCAAGAATACCGGGAAGGCAGACCTTAAAATCTGATTAGTTAACTTAAACTACCACCCAATGTGCTAACATCAAGAAGACCTTCACTTTAGTAGCAGATAATTTATCAAATGAAAATTACATGCTAAGAACTGTACAAAAATGCATTAAATGATCTTTTTATACACAGGACCACAAACAATTAAAAGGGAATTAGGTACAAATTTCTGGTGAAAACAACGCCATGTGTTGGAGACATAGTGGTGTATAGGAAGAAATTAAGAATTGATGTACACGGAATAAGAAAGCCACTGAGGCAAAAGAATAAGACGGTGACGCATTTGGTGCTTGATATGAACCTTACAACTTCAGTTTACCAAAAAGTGAAGTTCTTGACTTGATGTTAGCACACAGTGGCTGGCAGTAAAAAAAAGGTGCATGTAGGATTAAAAAAGAATGACATACGTTGAGTAAATAGGGATTCAAAGAAATTACAAAATGGAAACATACTGTAGAAAAGTTGCTTAGAAAAAGAAAGAATATTGGATGACAATAAAGAATACAGCATTCATTTAGTGGGAATAATTTGCAAACGTAGCAATTCATCAGGACTCACTGTAGGATTTAGAATCTGAAGAATCAGATTCACTAGAGTCCGAAGTACTTTCCGAATCACTTGAGCTGGATGAGGATGCACTTAAACGGTTAGCACCATCTGAAAAAAATTCATAAAAACGATGCACTTAGTAGTAATCAAACAAATGAAAGGATAATTTGCAGGATTACATGAATGGAGTAGCCAATAACGAAACATTATACACTTGCGAGAATAATGTCCACTTAACCGATGCAACTAAGCATAATAAATTGTTCACTAAAACGGTCAGTACAATCCAAACACAGGAAAAGTCCAATACTATGCGTCAGATTTTGCATACACCGATTTACATGAATGTGAACGATGGAATAGTTGTAACGAGTAATGCACATAAGGCAAATTTGTGAAAGAACTAAAACGAAGATAAGCTAGTGTTCTGTTGAGAACTTTCGTTTTCCTCTGTAATCTAAACTATCTGTTGGGTTGCTGGTCTGATGTTAATATTTCATCACGACTGTTATTCATAGGATATAAGAATTTTTGTGTGACAGTTGAAATTCCAATTAGTTATCTAGTTAGATGCATTAAAAACCAATGTGATAATGTACAACAATATACGATGTAACTCAACCAACACCTTTAAGCTTTTATACTAGGCAACTAGCCACAAATATTTTTGAAGGTTGATGGAGGAGGATTAAAACCCGTGACACACTAGCTAAGAACTGTCAAATCTAATGAGTCACGGATTTGCGACGAAAATATTCAGTGGAAAGAGGGATTCAATGTGCTTTGAAAACAGTCGATAGGATGCTTAGAAAAAGTTCTAACTTTGAAACTGTATCTAGAAACTTTCGAACACTATGGTGAATTAAGGAAGTGTTTAGGATCAGTAATGCCTCTCTACTTCTAACGAGCAAACACAACATAGTGGATAGTGGAAACATCGTTTTTTGACCTGATATATAAGCCCGGGTTTGTGAATGATGATAATCACAATGAGATTTGAAAATGCTTCTCCATACAATAAATACGAAGTATAGCAAAAAACATAATACAGGTGTATTATGAATCGTTCAGTTATTATCATGCCAGAATAGGAAAAATATAAGCCGAAACTTTGTGTAAAATCATATTGCGTGGAACTTGGAAACATTTGTGAGTGGAAATTGTTATAAGATTCCATGAAAGTCTGAAGCTGATGGAAAACAGGTAATCAGACAAACTTATACCAGATTGATTTCAGATAAGTTGATGATAGAAAACTCAAAAACACCATGAATTGTGCATTTTATAACAAATGGGAATAATTGTATCTTCTCACAAACAATAACAAGTAACATAGAAAGCATAAGATCAGATGGAATACTAAATTATTGTAGTACTGACTGCTACGATGGTCAATTATTGTGACAAATATGTCCAGTAAAAAATCAACATCCACTCACGTGCTTTCTTTGGATTATGAGCATTATGATAACCAGGGGCGCCTTGTGGAAGTCCTCCAATTTCTCTCAGTCGGTTTTCTAGTTCTTCCGTTTTTTCTTTCATACATTCTTCACGTGTTTTACCTGGTGGCAAGCCACTCACTCCTTTCTTTACATATTTCCGACTCCCAGATTTTGTCTTTTGTAAGACAGATTTCACATACTTCTCCAACTCACGCAAAGTTGTGTGCTGAAGTGTTTCGAAGTCAATTTCAATTTCATCGGGATTGCAATCGCGATGTGACGGTTCACGTTGCTGGATTATTTGAACAACTCTACCTAATTTTTCCCCAGGAAGTTTATTGATATCTAGGCTCAACTGCCGTTTTTCATCGTAAGTCATAGGTCGAACATTGTTTTCAGACATTTCTTCGTCTGTAGCGTATCCTGTCACAGGTATAGGTTGGGAATGTGTGCTGGTCATGTTGACTGCGCTGCTAACTGGAACACTTGGTGCATTGAGAACGGGGGCTGCAGAAGAGAGTCCTAAGAGAAAGAAGGAATTAAAAACAAATTACTTTTTTATTTTCGACAGGTAGAAAAACACTAAGCACGTTAAAGTATATGCAATTTTCAATAATTGGATGGTCGCATTTAAATCCCGTAATTTAATACCTTCTATTGCTCTATATATATTATCCAAAAATTGTTTTGATTGCCAATCAAATCAAATCAGATTCCCTTTAACCAAGAACGAGAACATGATCCCCTAAATTCTTCAACAGCGACCTGACACTGATAACTAGATATCGTCAAGTGTTACTTATTCTGTATAGTAATAGCGATTGATAGGATTGTTTGCTCATCATTAATGGAACTAGAGTATTATAGAGATAGCGCAACAAAAAGTGCACGGGGAGTTCCCAAGAGGAAACAACCAAGTTTTGAGTGGAAATTCGCATACACAAAGTTTTACCAGCCAACGAATGAGGAAACAATTGTTGGTGTCGACAATTCACCTGCATTGCCAACTGATGAAATCATGCGTAAGATATCACCAAAGTAGTTCACAGGTTCATTATATTTCATAGAGTTACGTGGTTACTAATACCCCAAGATATTGAATTGACACTTATCAGTAAAAAAAAAAACTAATTAAGAGTGAAAACTCCAATAAAACTTGGGACAAAATAAATGTAGATTCACAAAAAAGTTCCCAGCCATCTCTAATAGACTCTATTAAGAAATAATAAGTATATTGACTGAAGCTATGAAACAGACTTTGTACAGGTCTGCTGCTCCTATTTACTGTTCGGTGCCGTCTACGAGTTCCTTGAGTGGATGTACTTTGCTTTATCAAACAGTTAAGCTCCCATCCTAATTCAGTGATCTAATCGTGTTTATGTCATAGTGTAAAGTCTATGGAGCCTTTTTTCAACTCTGAATATCCCTTACCGTCAACATTCCACTATCATGTAGACTAACATATAGCCCTAGCGTGAGCTGGATACCTGAGTGTTTCTGAGAAAACTAACATCAGACTGCTATTGCAATTGATGTTAGATGCAAACTGGTTTTAAAAATATATGCCAAAAATGAGAATCACGAGGTTGTAAAGCATAAATGATCACAAAAGGGATACTATGCAAATTTATGAAGTAGTTCGGTTACCTTTCAAAACATATAGTGATCAAACATTGAGCGATAACAGCTATTATTTCATGAAGGTAAATGTTTTGAAAGTAAAGGTAGCTTGAGATATACTTAGACATGACGAAGTTCGATACCCAATGTTCTTCTAAGGAATCGCTACTTTCAGTGTACACCGGGGCTGAAGGAAATCCCAACACTTTATAACATAACTTTGTGAAGAGTTAAGAGAGATCAATAGAATCAATCCTTTTCATCATATGACACCACAGAGATGCGGTTCATCGGCTTAAAAGCTTGAATTTCAAGAAACAGGTTCCCATGCTCAAACTCTTTTCCATGTAACTGGACCTGGGCGGCCAAAGAGTGCCGTAATCTCCCATGAAATAAGAGTAACCATTAGTCTAGTACATCTGATGATATATTTCTTAGTGCCCATGATATACCAATTTTTGTATTTTAAACAGATAATAAGGTAACATTACTAAAACTGTCTTTCTCTGACTAAGCAACAAGATGGTAATCTAACATCTCTTTTGGGTTTTCTACGCACATATTAGTAAAGTCCTGCTACAAAAAAGAATCTACGAATACAGTCAACTTGCCAATAAAGTGAAATACCTAGAATTCCGATGTCATATTTACTTCAGTGTGTCCTACTACAGATTGGCGGTAACACAGAGATAAATATAAATGTAAACAAAAGAAAATCATTTTTGATCTTTGAAACGTGAACACCAAACCTAGTGAAAACAATGTAACACTGTCGTTATGGTGTGTCGAGGTAATCAGCAGACTAGCCTGAATATGTGTCATCGATCCAGTAATAATCAGTAGGTAGCAACTTTTGTTTTAGCTTTTCCCCTTCATTAAGTTTTTCAAGGCCTTATTAACTTAAAATGCATAAACGATGGAAATATAAAACATATCAGCACAAAAAATCGGTAGTGTGACTCATTTTCAGGTGCCCTTGTTGCAACAAGTTTGTTTAAGATCAAAACACCCACTAGTTTGGCAAAAACTTCCAGACTTTAGAACTTTACACATGTACCGCTAAAAGACAGTAATACTGCTGATGTAGATCTCATGTAGATCTTCAACAACTGAATTATTCCCATACTAAATGATAATCCATTAAAATGGTAAAAACCTTGTCTCGATAATCAGAAACAATACAACACTGAGTTATATATATATATATATATATATATATATATATATATATATATATATATATATATATGGAAATAACGTTATGAAGCCTTACAGCGAAGTAGGTTAGGGGTGCGGCTAGATTATAAAGCAACGGTCTTGGAGGAAGATACAATTACAGTACGTATTACTTAGAACACAAAGTTGGTAACAACATGAGCACCAAGAGATGCACCATACAAGATGACATAGCACTTCGGAGAATACAAAGACATGATATTAAGCAGTAAATAAATGAAACAAAAATGAATATGGGATAGTTAGAAAAAACCTTAAAGGACTCAAGCACGATTCATGACCGCTACTGGTTTCGATTCTGAACCTTACTTACAAACGTTCCAGGTTACTGATGATTACCTCACACAATTTTTTCATTTCACGATGTCACATTGTACACTGACCGAATCTCCAACTTTTTTAACAACTTCCAGATCGAACGGATGGTCAACGATTTGAGATTCACTGGGATAACATGTATTACAAATGTATTTCAAGATAAGCTAACCCAGTGAATGAAGGTCTCCATTACGCCTAAACATGTATCATGTCATCATAACATTAAATATATAGTGTCTGCACCAGATGCTAGTGATCCTACGTAGATAGTCGTGATCGGACGCTCAGAGTCATCTAACATCATCAGCTCACATAGACCACAATTTCATGAGTGCAAAACAGATTTGTTCACACCGACACACAGCATACCCAACCTTTTTTATAGCAACGGGGGATGTCATGAAAGCATCAAAAATAACCCATGTTGGTGTATACTAGATTCTGGATTTCGACAACCGGTCGGAAGTGTCATAAGTCACAACCCCATCAGTACTAAAACAATTACCCAGGTGTAAACAAACTTTTCCATAGCTTCCAAAAGTTTTTTCCAAGATGGAGTGCAGATACAGACCCTTGCCAATAATGCAGAAGCACTTCTATGAGCATATTCCGAAAAATCTGTGTCTAAATGGTAGAAAGGTCTTTAAAAGCGCAATCCTCAGGCACCTAATGCAAACAGGACATCAAAGAGATGTTTCTCAATCCTTCGGGACAATCAACAAACAAAGAACACAATGTTTATTACGGTTTGCAGAAGCTCTCGCTATCAAACATTTTCAACCTGACCTATGCACTCAGAAACAGATTAATTAACCTCTCTTTACCTTGGTAAGTCTATATAATGCATATGCATATGCATACGCATGCATATATATATACATATATATATATATATATATATATATATATATATATATATATATATATATATATATATGCATGCATGCATGCATGCGTATATAGTCTTCCCTTTTTTTATGATTTCATCATCTCTTCATTAATTACTTACTGAGTATTAATCACTCAACGATCTTCAAGTTTTTCCTGTAATTACGTGACCTATTAGCCCTTAAACTGTCCCTTCCGTTACACTGATTTCCCTTTCTTGTCAACCCATCATCATCACCACCACCACCCCCACCACCCCGAATCCACACTCCACAGCTCCAGAATTTTCTAACTCACCAGATGTGCATTACCACTGACTTTGACTAAGACTTGTAACTATCAATCCTGTGTTTCCTTGACTCACTCACTACCTTGTTGTTAATCCTGGATTTCAAATCTCCATTTATTTCTCCATATTTTAAGTATGTTATTACTACTAGTATTTCATTTAAGTTGTAGGCTGTTTGCAGCTGATGTAGGGCTGTGGAATAAAATGAGCTCATTTTATTCTGCAAATGCTTTTGTTCGTGCATTGTTCAACTTTGCACGTTGATGGTGCAAAGTATGTGGCATGCTCACGAACAATAATTGTTGACTCACTCATTATGATTTGGGTGGACTGAATGTTTTTGTACAGCATAATATTCGGTTACATACTCAAGGTCAAAGTCCTTCTCCTGGTAACAAATCTCTACATTCATCACGCATGTCTTTCAGAGCTGTCTCCAATAGCCTATTGATGCCAGTCTAGATAAGAGTAGCGAAATCGGAAAGCCGTCTGAAAAACTGGCTCGACAGCTGTCGTAAGAGAACACTATCACTCATCCAGAAGAAGCGTGGCACCATCTCTAGTCTGCTATAAAAAAAAGTGATAAAGACAGTAGCCGACTCTCAAACTGATTAAAAAGAGCCAATGGATATCAGCAGCTTCTTCTGAATTAATGGATGGATGCTAAAGCATACCTGCAGGTGCTTTGAGTACAATCAGGAGTAAACGCAACTCAAATGTAGTCTGACAAAAAGTCTGCATAATCACCACGAATAGTGGCGGGCAGCGAAAGCTAGAAGTGGAAAAGACAGCGATGATAGGTAACAGTAGACAGTTATTTAGACTTATCGAGGAAACTGGGGCGAAAAGGTCAATGGTAAGTGAGACGATAGAGTGGAAGGATTGGTATGCGCTTCGCTCGTAGAGGAGGTGACTGGGGCGGTGGGTGGAACACTTCAACTGGCTTTCAGCTATTACTTCGTTGCTCCCTATCCAGTCGGAGGCTGAACGGAACACCAAAATAAGACTCACAACACTTTCAGAAGTCAAGAATGTTGCAGCTGACCTGAAGAGCACCAGGGCCAGATAGACTAGCTCCAGCGCTATTTAAGGGTAGTGGTAAAGGATTTTCAGCCACGTTAACTGCAGTGTGTGGAAGTCAACTCCTATTTGTGATCGGTCTCAACCACTG